GTGGAGATCCATTAGAGAAAGGAAAAATGCTATTTCGGATAATTACATAGTCTTTCTTCAAGAGCATGAGGAAAATAATGGTATGATGGAAGATGATCCAATCAACTTCTGTCAAGCCATGCAGGATTTCAACTCGGAAAAGTGGATTGAAGCAATGAAGGAAGAGTATAAGTCCATGCAAGACAATAAAGTTTGGGAACTTGTCCCATTACCAGAAGGTATGAAACCCATTGGTTCCAAATGGATTTTTAAAACCAAACCGGATTCTAACGGTAATGTGGAGAGGTATAAGGCTCATCTTGTGGCTAAGGGTTATACTTAAAAGGAAGGGTTTACTTTAAAGAGACTTTCTCTCCGATTTCATCGAAAAACTCTTTTAGGACAATTATGGCTCTTGTTGCACATTATGATTTGGAACTCCATCAAATAGATGTCAAGATAACTTTCCTCAATGGCAACGTTGATGAAGCAATCTATATGATGCAACCAGAAAACTTTGTGTCAGGAGACTCAAAGAATATGGTTTACAAATTGACAAAATCCATTTATGGACTAAAGCAGGCCTCTCGTCAGTGGTATCACTGAAGTAACTCTCTCATTTGGTTTTAAGGTGAATGTTGTTAAAGATTGTGTGTATCACAAATTCAGTGGAGCAAGTACATTTTCTTGGTCTTGTATATAAATGATATACTGCTTGCCACAAATGATATATGAATGATGCACGAAACTAAGAAATTTCTATCAAGAAATTTTGAAATGAAATATCTTGGTGATGCCTCCTTTGTATTAGGAATTCATATACCGATCTTGTGGTATTCTAGGATTGTCACAAAGGAGATATATCGAAAAGGTACTTAAAATATTTGGCATACAGGAAACCTAGAAATAAATGCAAAATATTCCTTATGCGTCAGCAGTAGGGAGTCTGATGTATACCCAAGTGTGGACTCGTCCAGATATTGCGTTCATAGTTGGGATGTTAAGTAGATATTTGAGCAATTCAGGAATGGGTCATTGAAAAGCATCTAAAAAGGTTTAAGGTATTTAAAGAGAACAAAAGACTATATGCTCACATATAAGAGGTCAGGCCAGTTAGAGATCACTGGATACTCTGACTCAGATTTTGTTGGATGCCAAGACATTAAAGATCCACTTCAGGCTATATCTACATGTTGGCTGGTGGAGCAGTTTCTTGGAGCAGTGCTAAGCAAACTCTTATAGCTTCATCCACGATGGCAGTAGAGTTTATAGTATGTTATGAGGCATCCAACCATAGGATTTGGATGAGGAATCTTGTCATTGGATTGCAAATTATGGAAGGAATTGGGAGACCACTTAAGTTATAATGTGACAACAAATCAGCCATCTTGTATTCCAACAATAATAGGAGCTCGACTAAGTCAAAACATATTGACACCAAGTTCCTAGTTGTTAAGAAAAGAGTACAAAGTGGACAGATTTCCATAGAACACTTGGGGACAAACTCTATGATTGCAGATCCTCTTACAAAAGGTCTTCCACCCAAGGTCTTTCATGAGCACACTGCTCACATAAGTGCTTTGTCGTTGGAGGAGTCCTTTGGTTTAGTGGGAGTAAGTCGATTATAAATTTTATGTTCTGTGTTTGGTATTATGTATGCATACTATGATTTTAGATATTTTTCAATTAATTAAGTTTGATATTCAATAGTTCACATTTTGTACAATAAAGCTATTGAATGATCTCACTAAAGTAAAGTAGAACCAGTTGAAAATTGACATATACAGGCCAACTTCATGTGATTTTCATGCTACACATTTCATGATGGATCTATGTCATTTAATTGTGTCACTATCAGTGATCATTGATGGGTTTAGTTATGATCGATATAACGAAAATCACTTTGATTCTGTATATTGGCATGACTAATGGACGAGATACTTTGGATATGCTTAAAGAATATAATGGCAAATTTTGAGCTCATAAAGTCTAACACATGTGTAAAGTTACATATGTGACCAGTGGAAGATTGTTAGAATTTTGGTCACAAATGTAACATTTAAGGTGTTAGTGTCATTATTTTAATTACTCAAGACTTAAAGGGGTCTAACTAATATAATATTAAGTTTGTGGCTAAAAGCATAAATGTCATGAAAGGTCAGGTTATTGTGCAAATACCATAATTCAATATCTAATTTGATGAGGGGCAAAATTATAATATTGAAAACAAAGAAATAACCCAAGGTTATTTATAGGGGTTATGGTCCCCATTTGTAGACAACGTGAAAACGGCTTATAAGAAAAATATCTCCATCCCCCTCAGAGGAGAATCAAGAAGTCATAAGAAACTCTACAAATTGGAAGATCAAATACCCGCAAACTTTCGGTGATTTTCAATGAAAAATTCAGGTACGCTTCCGCTTTCATTCTCATAATTGTATTCGAGTATGGGTTTAAAGAATTTATTTAGAGTCATATTCTTGATTTCTATATTGATAGAAGTTATAAGGTTATGGACTAATCTAATAATTAAAGATAGAAAATTAATTTTTAAAATTAAGTTTTTTTAAAATTTTAAAATTTCTCATGTTCAACACAATTTCAAAGATAAAATTTTATTTTTAATTTTTTAATTTGTTTCTAATAACATTTGTTAGTAAGACTCTAATAATAATAATAATAATAATAATAATAATAATAATAATAATAATAATAATAATAATAATAATAATAATAATAATAATAATAATAATAATAATAATAATAATAATAATAATAATAATATTAATAATATTATTATTAATAATAATATTAATATTAATAATATTAATAATATTAATATTAATATTAATATTAATATTAATATTATTAATAATATTAATAATAATAATAATAATAATAATAATAATAATAATAATAATAATAATATTAATAATATACATGATAAAAGATTCTATAAATATTTGATATGCTTAAACTCTAGTTATAGTTTTTTATCAGTAATAAATAATGGATGAATGTTAAGCTAATTTTAGTAGTAGAACTTATAGTTTATAATTTTAAATTAGTTAACAGTTGATATCGAATAAACTAAATAATTAAATTTATAGTATTTAATAAAATTAATAATAGACTAACTTACATATAAAATGATCATTAGAATAATTATGTTAATTTAATATTTAATTTTTTAATTAAGATAACAAAATTATAATTGACAAAAAAATAAAAAGGTATAAGCTACTTTAATTTGTAATATAAAAAATTATAAATCAGTAAAAATAAGGTACAAGTTCTTGAGAAAATGATGTTATCAAAAATATATTTTTAAAGCTATGTTTATAAATTACAAACCAATTGTCAAACAGAATTCTAGTGTATTTAAATTTTTCCCCTATAATCTTTTAAAAAGAAATTAAAATTTTAAAATAAATAATGATATATCTTTAAAAGTGTTTCAAAATTGAACTCATCTAGCTCTAGGTGGATTTTATGAGGTGTCGACATTATAGTAGTGGAAGCATGCCCTCCCAATTGAGAGATTGGGTCAACATGCTTCAAAAATCAGTGTCACCTTTTGCCCACCCAACAATGCATGTCGTGAAGGAATTGAATCCCACACAATAATTAGAAATTAGTGGTAATGTTATGGTAGCAACTTTTGGATAACCATAAGCTTTAATGATAAATTATTTAGAAAAGCAATTCGAAGTTGTAACGAAGAGTTTAAAGTGATTATGATTGATGTCAATTCAAAGCATAAACTACTATATGATTTGTTAATAAATTGATTTTATAAAATTGATTTTGACTTAAAAATAAGTTGAAAATAAAGTTATTTACATTTGATAAATGTTTATGCAAAATGAATTGAATGTAAAAACTACATTTCATCAAAAGATATAAATTTTAATTTTAAATAGAATCAATTCCAAAAAGTATAATCAATTATACCAAACATATTAAAACCAATTTTACACATACAAAATTAATTATGGAAACTCCAAAGATTTGAAATTAATGGATAAAAACATAATTCTGGATAGAATATTATAGCAGAAGTTGGTCCATATAACCAATCTCATTTAGTAAGATGAAATTTAGTTGTTATTGTTATTGATTATGATTGATTTTAGAAGAAAAAAAATAATGCACTGATAACTGTCAATCTCAATCAATAACGATCATACATCCCCCGCCGAATCATACTGATAATTTTTAACTAATTATATGACATAACAAAATAATATATTCATATTAGATGTCACTGTAAAATTTTATAGTGCATCACAATTAAACTCTTGAATTTATCTTTGAAATTATTCTAATTTAAAACTATAATTAGTAGTTTGTGATTCAAACGGGGACTTTATACTCAAATTTATTGTTTAACGTACATAAATGTTCTCAAATATAAATCACTTTTCATTTAACTAAAATTAATTTTACACAATTTCTTTATTCAAAATAAATTTTTATCATCATAGGAACTCTGTTTACCAGTAGCTGCTGTAACAGTCCTTCTACAGCCAATGCCTTTCCTATATATTAGGAGGGTCTATTATTGCCCTCTAATCTCTGAATTCCTTCCTATAAGCCACTGAAAAAATAATCCATTAAGGCATAATGACTTCCACTCTGCATCAGGTGGCTCTAGAACAATCATAAACTGAAAGTGAATTGGAGTATTTTGGTTTAAATGATAATGCATTAAGAAAGCAATTGTGACACCTATGTTCTTGCGTGCTTTACAAGTAAAGGGAGAACCAAAAAGAATAAATGGACAATAATGAATGAACAAAATTTTGGAAGGAACTAATACTGATAATTGATTCTAGCCTGTTGGATGATCATGAATCTCAACATACAAGATTTTCGACAATCTTTGCTACCTCCGCTTCTGCCAATTATGTTGATTATGTTCGAAAATATTACAGATAACTTAAGTAAGAAGAGCTTATAGTAAGTAACCTTATATTAATAACCATCATAGCCATAATCATCGCCTTCGTAGTTATGTTTCATTTGCATATTTTGGGTGCAAAGCGTCGTTGTCGTTTTTTCCTTCCTCCATTTTCTTGATACGAAGTATGTTTAAATTCGTCAAATGATCCCATTTCCTTCGACTTTGATTCCGAAATATTATCATTTTCAGAGGCTACTTTCTTGAGATTCTCTTGAGTTTGCGCCTGTTTATATAACAAGCATTTGAACCACAAAGATTAAAGTTAGTATTTTCCATTTGGGTCATGTAAATGGTCCTTTAAACACAAGGACCAGGTTGTTACACATTACATCCAACAGTTATGCAACAGAATGACAAACAATCAAGTAAAGTTACGATTGAGATATTTTAAAAAAAAAACAGATACATAAAGGCAAAATTTGAAATATCGGTTTTTAAGGGGAAAAAGATGGTGGGCCAAAACCCAATCAGGAAAAGAATTTGCTCCACAACCGCGACCGTTTATCTTCCTTATAGCGGCCGCAATCTGTTTCTGCCCCGCCCGCGACCTTGCCACTGCAGCTGGTCTCCGCACAGCGGCAATTGACGACCTAGTAGCTAACACAATTGTGATGGAGTTATTGTTTTAAGTGCAATCATAGTTATCGCACAACTGAAAAACTTAACTTGTGTTTTGAAATCTTCAAGTTGAGCTTTAATCTTATTAATTTCTTCAACATCTCCCACCATCCTTTGTCAGCAACTACATAGCCCTCATTCCAGATAATAGTCTGGAGCATGCAAAGGCTTGTGGAGTTGTTTATCTCACCTCTCATCAATGATTACTCATGGAAGATTGAAACTAAATAATGCAAAAACAAAACTGAATTACTTGCAGCCCAATGCTCAATGCAATATGCAGAGTTTATAGTTTACCTTATCGGGACGCCGTTGATGGCACTATGGAGCCTCTCTTTAGCAAGGTCAGTTGTCTCATAAATGAACCCCTTTGCTGACTTACCATTTAATCCATAAAACAAAGTACTTTGATTAATGGATATGCACCTTTCAAGCAAATCACAATATTTTTTCAAAACTTCTATATCCATAATCACATCTTCAATATACTTTTCCTCCTCTGTTCTTGAAAACTTGTTTGATGTCCATTCGTTAATTAGATGTGAGCTTTCTTATAATTCCCCTTTATTTCTCATAAGAACCCCAAAGTTAGATAAAATGTTGCAAACCAAGTTGTGGGTGGTCACACCAAATCCTTCCCTTTGGTCAAATGTTGTGAACTGGAATAACTTCGAATGAGGCCGGCCCACCAATCATCTAGTACAGGAATGACGTGAAAAGAGCTTGGACGCGAAAGGGCGGGATCAATCAGCGCAGCATAATTCTTCCATAGCGGTCTGCATTTCTACTATGGTTTCTTGATTGCCACTACTGTTGCTAGCGGCACCTCTTGATCACGTCTTTTCGTGCCCAAACTCTTTCCATGTCATTCCCAGGCTAGATGATTGGTGGGTCGGCCTCTTTGAGGCCTATCCGAAATTATTCCAATTCATTTCAGTCCCTCAAGCATGAGGCCAGGAAGAGCGATGTGATTAGACTAAGGATACCGGTTCAAGAACAATTTTAAACTTCTTAGTAAACAACCATAAAGGTGTTGCTTTTAAAAATCCATCGATGCTTCTCACATATTAAAAATTGTTGATAAATATTTGACACTGTAAATCAAATTGTATAAGCTGGTGAAAAAAACGTGCAGATTATGACTGACAAATCAAATTACAAAGTTGTTGGTGCAATTTCAATGGAGAAAAGGAAGAAGCTTTATCAAACACAATGTGCAGTGCACACTGTATTGATCTTATGTTAAAGGGTTTTGAGAAAAAGACAACAGTTCAACATGAAACAATTTCAAATGCTAAGAACATTACACAATATATTTATATTTATTCATACGCTTCCTTAATTTTTTTTTTATTAAAACATTTCACTAAAGAAAAGAATTTTGTTAGACCAGCCAAGACTCTCTTTTCAACATCTTATCTAACTTTAGGGTGTCACATGGACAATAAAAGCGCGAATTGATAGGAATGCTCACATCTAATGAATAGACATCAAGCATGTTTACCATAATAGAAAAAGGGAAGCTAATTGAAGAAGTGATTATAGATTATAGATAAAGGTGATTTGCTTGAAAGGTGTTTATCCACTACTCAAACTACTTCCTTTAGTAGATTTATACGATAAGTCATATATATGATTTATTTATGAGACAATGGATCAAGCTAAAGAGAGAATCTAAAGTGCATCCAATGGTGTCTAGATAAGGTAGAGACCACAGGCTTTGCATATTGCAAGTGCTCCTACATTCTGTTTTTGCATTTAGGGTTGCAAACTTTGCCTAGTGCATTCTGCATTCTGTCAATAATCCAAAGTATATTCAAAACTAATTCAATTTTTTTCTGCATTATTTTGTTTCTAACCTCTATGAAATATCATTGATGAGAGATGGGTTAAACAACTCCATAGACCTTTGCATGTTGTAGACTCTACTACTATCTCAATCCTCAATTAGAATACAACCCTGAATTTAAAGATGCCTATGAAGTCAAACATGGGTTATATGATTGCTTGAACATATCATGGGAGATATTGAATAAATTAATAAAATGTGTACCTCAACTTATAGATCTCAAGACACGAGCAAAGTTTTTTGGTAGTGAAATAATTATAGCTGCACTTAAAACTAAACTTTGTCACACTTGTTGGTAAAGTCGTCTTAAGTTTTTGGAGGCCCTGTATAGGTTAGCCACAGTTCAAATGTGACAAAACATATAGAGGCCTATTTCACCACGTTTTATCAGTGACAGAGATTTATGAGGCCCTATTTAGATAGGGTTTAACTCTGACAAATTTTGGGCCCTGTGCGGTAGTCCGCCTTGCACGCCCTCAAAAACGTGGTTGGAATCATATGGGGATGAGCATCCAAAACTTCACACTTTGCAATCTATGTGTTAAGTTTGACATGCAATTCATCCGGTTGTGAGCGAAATTGGAGTGATTTAGGGATGGTAAAATTTATTTAAATTTTAATTTTGTAAAATTCCCAACAACTTGTTATATACTAATGGAGTTTGTATCTACTAGTTCCATACATAGAAGAAATTGTTTGAAACAAATGAGTCAGAATACTCTAATAGTTCCATATACACACACAATGAACCTCAAAAGAAAATTGATTCCAAAGTTACCTTTCTGGATTTTGCCAGAGATTCTACGGCAGATTGAGCAAGTTTGTCTCTTGCTGCAAGTGAATCATTAGAACAGTTTCGGAAAAACAACTCAAAAGCTTTCTTGGCAATTGTTTCCTTGGCAGCTAGTTCCTTTAAAAAAAAATAAACGTTGAGTTAGATGAAATACATATCAAATTTCCACATAAACCAAACCGTGAAATAACAAACCAGTGGAAAACACAATACAATCATACACAACTTCAGAGTTAAAATAAACAGGAGAAAAAAGTTGAACTTTTAGTACCTCAAGATACTCTCGATTTTCATATTCCCAACGTTCAATGTTCCGGCGAAAGAATCTGCCCTCACTGGGAATGTAGTCATCAACCTAAGCAGCATATGGCATTTTAGGTGGGGATAGTCAGATGGCAGACAATCTAACATGACAGGATTAAAATAATTGACAAAACACAAAATTTCCATCACATTTTTAATCTCCAAAATAGCGGTACTCTCTCTCTTACTCCAACGCTTACAATAAATCCAAACAAGGCCCTCAATTAAGCGCTCTAGAAAACGAGGAGCAACTGGCACACTACTGCTAGTCTTTTCGCTAGTTGTTGTAAACTAAAATTTTCACTATCTAGACCCCCATTCTATTACCTCTAAACAAGAGGTTTCCATCAATAAAGAGGTTAACTTCCAACACCTTCCTGCATATGTCACAATAATTTATCAAAACTAAGAGTAAATAGTCAATTTTTATTCTTTAATATATAAGGTTTTGTCGCTGTAGTCCCTAAAGTTATCAAACTACAAAAAATATTATTGAATGTATTGTTTGTTTGTTAGTTTGGGCTTCATATGTGCCTTTTGTCCGTCACTTTACTTGAAGAAATTAATATCAGAAGACATACTGAGAGATGGTTTTGCATTTCTTTTATTAAGTATAAGAATGATAGAGAGAACACCAAGTACATTTAGAGACCAAATTGACTCTTTCCACTGAAATTAGAGATAAAGATTAAAACTAGAATAAACCTTCAATTTGATCCCTAAGCTATGACTTTATGTCCTGTTCGGTCATCGAATTATAGGATGTATATTAATAACAACAACAACCACCACCACCACCAAGCCTTATCATATTAAGTGGAGTCGGCTACATGGATCAACTTCCTCCATAATGTTCTATCTAGGACAATGTTTCTATCCAAATCGTTAATCTCTAGATCTTTTTTAATAACTTCTCTTATAGTTTTTCTAAGTCTTCCTCTATATCATAAAAATAAAACTGCCCAATTATATGCTCCATTCTATCTCATTTGTAATATGCAAAATAAATAATAGTACCCTCCATCATTCCATTGCTTATCATGAATCTTAACAAAGCCCTAAACTAAACTCATTCCTACCCTAAACCCTCATATTATTACCTATCTATGCAGCATTTTCCTAAAATTGTGATCTTCTAAATAAGCATGCCCTCTATCATTGTAGTCAAGATTGAGTGCTGGATCGTAAGATCTTATGTGCTAAGGGTGCTTGAGAGTGCTACGATTAGAGAAAGATCGATTCCGCCGCCGGTATGGTCAAAATCAAGCTTTTTGAATCAAGATCGTATGAAAAACATGTTGGTCCAGTATTGTAATTTTCATATTTTTGTGTATGTGAGTGTATATATGAAACTACCATTTTTTCCTTCTGTAGGATCTTAAGTATAGTGCTAACGATCCGAGTTTTACTATCTTTTACAAGCCGACTGATCCTACTAGACCTCGTGCTTGACTACATTGCTCTCAATCATTCCAATCAAACCCCTAAAATGTAATATATTATAAAATTAGAGTAAATGGTGAATTGAAACCCATCCAACTTCATTCAATTCAATCTCAATTATGATCTTCCAAGCAAATGTACCATAAATCCAAACACAGCTTTAAACAAAACTCTTTGCTATCACAAATTAACTACTTCCAAACTCTTTCACTATCCAAACCCTAGTTCTTACCTTCTTAGCAACAGTTCTGACACGGCGTGACTCCACAACTAAAAAGCTATCTTCCAACAACATCCCACAATCTCCACAGAATCTGGCAACAAACCATTAGCTTATCAATAATCCAGTAATCATACAAAAAAAAACAACTCTTCAAGTTAACATAAAAGTGAAAAAGATCATTATGTAAGCATAAAAATTACTCACAAGGGATCATCATCGAGTCGAATACAAGAAACGTTTTTACAACAGTGATCACAAAACACTGTTAACCCTGTTTTCTGAGAAAAATGGTGATCTTCCAACACTTTCCCACAATCTCCACAACATCTGTCAAAATTCAAATAACAATTAGCTTATTCATAATCCAATACAATAATCATACAAAAAAGAAAAACCAATTACAAAAACTTTGCATAAAAGAAAAGAAAAAAAAAAGGATGATTATGAAAGCATCAAAAGTTACTCACAAGTAACCATCGTCGATTATCTCCCCAGCAATGTCTGTCAAACAGTAATCACAAAACACCATTTTTTTAATCAATTTTTTGTTTAACACTCTTTGCTTCACTCTATTCCCGATTGAAATTGAATATCGGAATTAAAAGAATGAGGAATGAAATTAGGGTTTGTTTGAGGCGGTAAAAAAGTGGCACTAATAGATTATCAAAATTTCGAATTTTGACCTTAGGCAGCAATGGGTTATTCAACAATATTTGCTATGTAGATCCATGGGGTGCTACTCCACGTCTCCACCAATGTGAAAGGTCAAAGTTGTCTTTGGGTTTTCGGAACTATTTTTTTATACACTCGTCAATCCGATTTGCTGAGAACTCTTATTTATTAAAATTTAGTCTAAAATACATCTCCGTGGATTAGAAAATATATCTCTATATTAACATTAGGATAGATTCGAAGATGCATATATGTAAATACTCTTAATTTAAAATTTAGTGATTTTTTCAGAGATGCATCTTCAGACGTGTTTGTTTCATATACTCGCGTCAGACTCTTTATTTTTCCTCCTTCATTTTCTACAAACACTAAAAAAATCTCATTTGAGCTCTTTTGGTGCAAAGTCATTTACAAACTCCATTTGATCAAGTTTTTACAACTGATGTAGCTGACATCATAGGTGATCATGCTAGAATTAAAGTTTTGGAAGAACTTTATACAGACTGCTTGCAAATGGTTACGGATGTCGATAGTGATGATATGCAGATTGAGTACCATTGACAATGTGCACTGAGGTGTTACCTCTTGGTCCTGGTTGGCACGTCCATGTTTGTGGATAAAAGTGCAACCTATGTCGATGTGGTCCACCTTAAATACTCCATCAACTTGACAACGATTCACGAGTACAACTATGGGCTGCCTGTTTGGTATACTTGTACTCGAAGTTGTGCGAGGGTTGTCTTTGAAAGACAAAGCAGATGACTGGAAGTTGTACGCCGCTTATAGTAATTTACTATTACTAATAATTTCATAACTCTTTTGTTACAACCATTTTTAGGGATGAATTATCTCCCACTTTACTCGCATCTCCTGGTGGGAACCTATGTCTGACTACACTGAGGAATGGCCATGTGATTGCGTCTTTGCCCACTTAGAGGAAATCAAGTGATCGAGTCTTCTGGTTGTATATTGATTATCATGTAGAAATGACATTGCCTTCTGCCTATACAAGAGCCACCGCCAGACGCGTCAATTAGACATCATTTTGTTATACTCCGGATGATTGGTTTGTGGGTCACGTATGATGTATTTGCATATGCCTGAGCGAGTGATGCACTAGTTTGGGTATTTACGTGTTATTTTGAGACACCCCTCAGAGTTTGCTCCTCCCAGTGTCCAGCGCAGAGATCTTAATGTCATACTTGAAGATTTCAAGCATCATTTGGTACTAGAAGACCATCGCAAGGTGTCAGCTCCTGTACATTGGACTTATATAGACGGCTAAGTGACATGGTTATATAGGGTGTCACATCCCATCATGACCTCAGACGCTCCTAGAAGACTATCTAACATTTATAATCAGGAGGTACTTGAGGCTAGGGATTATCACATTTAAGACGTACGCAACATCTCTCGGTGTATTGTGGATATGTCGAGATTAGGCATAGAGGTTGGACTTTTTTAGGAAGGCAATTCCTAGTTGGCCCTCGTAGAATGCATTTTTGTCGAGGTCCATAATGCCTTGCAATATAGGCGGAGAAGTCGGGGGATTAGGCATACATAATTTATGTTTAGTTTTTTTTTTTACATTTTTGAAAAAATGTTATGTATGACTTTTTTAATGCATGTGCAATATGTTTGAATCAATTAATGTATGTGTTTTCTAATTTATGGCATAAAATGACTTAAAATATAAGTTAGGCAAAAAAATGTCAAAGTTAGGACAATGTTGCTGCCTAAAAAGCATTCAGGGGATTTCCAGAGATTCATCTTTGAAATATCCCCTATTATGTGCAATAAACACGCACCCAGTACCTTAAAATGAATTTAGGGGGGGTTATGGAGATGCATTTTCAAAGACACTCCAAAAAATTTTTTAAGATGCATCTCAGGATGATATTTTGGCAAAATTGGGGTGTATATCTGATTTATGATGGCTAGTGTGATTTTAGGTGCATCTGGAGATGCAGCTCCATACACTAATAAGGATAATTTTTAGTTTTCATAGGTGTGGAGCATGCCTCGTGGGGTGGGATTGTTCCAAAACGGACTTAAGGCATGGCACTTCAATGAATCGATCGCCTAAAAGCAAACACTTACGCTCGCCGAAGTAGTTGCAAGGGTGGAGTGCTACATTAAAGGCGGGGAAAGCAATGCTGAAAAGAAGACTCGCGACGCCAAGGAGCGTGTCCCCTTTACTGTGAGCTCTCATCCCTTAATAAAAAGAATCAACACCTCGCCCTAAAGGACAAATCCTCATTCAAGAGGGTGGAAAAAACAGTGGAGAGGTTCACACCTTTGAATACTCGCCGAGAGCATATCTGCAAGATGTTTCATCTACATAACATCGTGAAACTGCCTCTGAGAAAATAGGATTCGAGTCTGAAAGGTGGTGCAGGTTCCACAGGGTTAAAGAACATCATATCGATGATTGCTACCAGTTAAAGAAAGAAATAGAAAGGCTAATACATGAGGGTAACCTCAAAAAGTATTTGAATGGTAGCTCTTCCAATCTAGCAGAACAATGCAACCTGGATGAGCGAAAAAGATGTCAGGGGGCTTGGGTCAGGCAAGGCCAAAGAAGCACCCCAAGGAGAAGCAGAGAAAATAGTGCGTCATACCCTTACACCATAGTTGGAGGATTTGCTGGGGGCAACGAGACCAGTTCCCCCCCCAGCGCAAAAGATACTCACATCGAGTCTTGAGTATAAACGCCCTCTCAAAGATTACAAGTACAAATGCAGCATAAGCGGCATTCGTCTTCTCGAAAGAAGATGCATTCGGTGTCCATCCTTACAACGACGGTCTTATGGTCATCGTCATCTAGTGTGAAGGATGGAAGATCAAAAGAGCCCTAGTAGACTAGGGAAGCTTGCGGGATATATTATATTGGGAAGCCTTCGAGATATTACATCTCGACCCTAAAGACCTAAAGCCCTTCAAGTGATTGTTGGTTGAATTCTTAGGAGAACATGTTCGAGTGAAAGGCTACCTCACCCTGAACCATGCCAAGGAAATAAAAGTTAAGTATTTAGTCATTGAAGTCATTTCCTTGATAATATGATTATTAGGCGACCATCTTTTAACCGACTGAGAGTCGCTTTAAATATCTTATATTTATTCATGAAGTACCCCCTCCTAAATGGGCGAGTGGGAGTGGTTCGGGGAGATTAGGAAATCGCCAGGAAGTGTTACACAGAAGCCTTAAGTTAAAGAGGACACACTTTCCAGCGTTAGGACGAAAAAGGCCAACCATGGGATAATGTTGCCCAAAGAAGTTGGTGAAAGCAAGGAAGCTTCCATCCAACCTCACGGCCTGATGAAGCCTGAAAGAAAAGGGGAATCCCTCTCCTCTAGAATTGTTATGCAGTAATTTCATTCCTTTTATTTATTCATGTAGTCATTTTATTCTTTGTTTTACTTAGTTTCACATTTTTCCATAGGCGAGTATTTAAAACTCTACTGGTTGTAAGGACAAGTTATTGATTGTGATGTACTCTTTTCCTTCTGCACCTCCTGGAGAGCGAAGATTTTTAATGAGGCATTTCATCTTTAGTTATCTATGTTTATTTTATCACGCCATATATATGCAGGAAGTCCAATTCCATGAGAGACAAACAATTGTATTTGCTAGATCCCCCAAAAGAGGATCCTTGTCGCTTAGAGAGGCAATTATATTTGTTGGATCCCCCAAGGGAGGATCCTTGTCGCCTATAGAGACAATTATATTTGTTGGATCCCCCAAGGTAGGATTCTTACCACCTAGAGAGGAAATTATATTTGTTGGATCCCCTAAGAGAGGATCCTTTCCGCTCATATAGAAAATTATATTTACTAGACCTCTTTTGCTGCTCATAGAGGCAATTATATTTGATGGATCCCCCAAGAGATGATCCTTGCCGCTCATATAGGTAATTATATTTGTTGGATCCCCTAAGGAAGGATCATTGTCTCCCCTCAAAGACAACCATAGCAAGAAGAAGTCTTAAGGTTAAGGCAAAATAACAGAGCATTTAACACTTAAAGTAATTATATAAAGATGCCCGAAAGGGGCTGCCACTATAAAAAGATGGGTTACAAAAAAACCTAAAGGGATAAACAAGATTACAACCCAAAAAGAAAATAAATCATTCTTCATTCATCAGCTCCCCATCCAAAACCACCTTAAAAGGGTCAAATGAGCTTAAATCGGGCGGGTATATATATGAGGATTCACCCGGCATGGCCCACGGATGTAGGAGTCACACAATAGAAAGTCCTCATTGACTCCGAGAAAATAGGTGGTTAACAACCCTCTCTAGTAAGTGGGGAATGGTTACGAGCGCGTCAAGGGGGTAAAACCCTAGGAATCCCTATAAATACATGATCCCTTAAGGGGATAAGGGATAGACTCTCGAGTAATACACATTTACTACTATCCACTACTCAAAGAGCACTTCGCTCCTAGTGATCTTAAACACCATCAATTTAACCTCCCGCTTGTAACCTAGCACTATCAGCAGCCAACAAGGCCTCTCACCTTACGTGAGTTGGTCCTTTAAACAGTCTCAAAAACCACTATACAGTGTTACTCACCGCCTGAGTTAGCCCTCACGCCCAAATGTGTAATATACCTACTAGAGCCTCTGAGTCTCCTTGTTCTTGCAGGGGAACACACACACACACACACACACACACACACATACACATACACACCTCTAGTTTTTGGACATTACATAGTTAACAGATTCTTTCAGGATTATTTCTTTTATTTACTACCTTCGAGCAAGAAATTCTTCTTTAATTTGTCTAGATTCTTCGTAATTGCACCCTAAATGTTAGGCCTTTATATGAGCTATCCAATTTTTGTACTGATAT